TACTTTGGTTTCCCCATGGATTTTTTCTCTTCATTTTGGTATATATTTAAGGATTCTACAGTATTCACTGCCATCCCTCGCTCAACCATTTCCATCCCTCTCTGTTATCCCATTCTCCATCGTTTAGGCCTCTCTTACTCATGGCGTCGTTTACTTCGTTCCTCCAGGATCTTCGGGGTCGTCCTCTTTTCCTCCTTCCTATGGGACTCCATTCGGTTATTCTTTTTATCCATCTGCTGTCGCTAGTTCGTCGTACATGTCCATACCACTTTAGTCTTTTTTGTTCTATATATGTTAGTATGTTTCTATGGATGTTCATTACTTCTTTACTATTCACTCTTGTTACTCTGCAGCATCTTCGCAGACATTCCATCTCTGTTGCTATTGTCTTACTGCTGTTTTTCTTGTTTATAATCCAATTTACAACCCCGTATGTCATAATACTTTCGCACTAATGTTTTATAAATCTGTATTTTTGTCTTCATATTTAGATGTATATCCTGATACTGAGTTAAGTTTTCGGATTGCTGTTCTTATTTGTGTATGTGCTGTTCTTGTTTGTATTTGTAATCTTTGCGTAATTTCTTCCTCTGTTATTGCCTTTTTCGTGCTCATAAACCCTAAGTATTTGAATTTATTCTTTCCTTTTGATTATTACGTTGTTATCAATCTGTAGATCTTCTATGTCTTCTTCACATGTAGATAGGTACTCTGTTTTTGCGAAGTTAATATCTAGGCCAGCCTTAGTATATTCTTCTTGTAGTTTCTTCATCATGTACCAGAGGTCGTCTTGGTCTTGAGCAATCATTACTTAATCGTCTACAAAGCTTAACCTATATAGGTATTCGTTCCGTACCGGTACTTTCATCCCTTCGCATTTTCTTTTCCATGGAGTCAAGGTCTTTTTTAAGTATATTTTGAAACATATACTTAATGTACAAATTAGAAATACAGATAAGTTCCGTCTGTATTTCTAATTGGTAAATTGTCTTCCATAGTTCTGATCTTGGTACCGAATCATACGCCTTTCTTAGGTCCACAAATGCCAAATGCATATCTCTATTTGTTGCTTTTTTTCTTTTCCAACAGTTGTTCCAGTGTGTATATGTGGTCTATGCATGATCTTCCTGCTGTGAATCCTGCCTGATCCTCCCCGATTTTGCCTTTTATCGCTTGCTCTATCTTTTCTGGCAGCATCTTCCCATATAATCTTCCTATTGATGATATTAAGCTTATTCCTCTGTAGTTTTCGCAACGTTTTCTATCTCCTTTCTTAAATATAGATGTCATATATGCTTCCGTCTATTCCTTTGGAAGTTGTTCTCCACTTATGACTTTCTGAAATATCCATTGTATCATCCAGTGTAATTTTTTTGAGCTGTATTTTATAAGCTCAGGTGAGATGCTTCCAGGTCACGGTGCTTTCTTATTTTTGATTGCTATTATGACTGTTATCATTTCCCTATCTGTTATTTCTATTTCTTGTTGTGCGCATCTGCTTCGTCTTTGCCTGTTTTCTTTATGGTCTTTGTTCTGTTAACAGTTTCTTGTAATAGTACTTCCATTCTTTGTCCTGTATTTCTCCCAATTTAATTTTTTCTTTTGAGTTTTGTTTTTTAATTATACATTTACGATGTTTAATTATACATTTACCAAATGTAATTTTTTATCACCAAAAGTGAGTCAGTGTGATAATAATTTAATGATCGTAGGGAAACCTTCAGTAATATTTTTATATATTTGATTTAACATTTGAGTCTACGGTAACCTAGTGCTGGATAGACGACGCGACGTTAAGACATTGTATAGAGTGCTGTAAAAAAATAGCTCGCCCAAAGATTTTTTTGTCTTGATAATTTCTTATCCTATAGTAATCCTGTAATTTATATATCGGCTTGATAGCTTAGTGGATTGGAAACATAGTTTTAAGTGTGTAGTATACTAGGAATTATGGATCGAATTATATCCTAGTATTGAAGATATTGCGAACGCAATAGTATAAAATGCAATAGTTTGAACGTAACAGAATGAAATCCACAGATTCTTTGAAAGTCACTAGTAAAAATAAAGTCACCCGAAACATAAGTGTTGGGTTTTCTTCTTCTTTTAATCTTCAGATCGTTTGCATCCACTTCTGGACAAAGGCGTCCCCATGAGCTATCAATCCTTCTCCGTTGTTTGCTATTGGGTGCCAGTTTCACCCTAATTTTGCTTTTATGTCATCTAACCACTATGTTGTTCTTAACAGATTGGCTGATAACTATGTAAAATTCACAGTCTCTTTTATTTCATAGGTGATATTTATAACTGGTAGAATACAACTGCTGAATATTCTTTTCTTTAAATTTATTGGTATTTTTTGTTTTTTTAACACAACACTTCCTACTGTTGGTGGGGTTTTACAGTTCAGTAAACACTTCTTCATTAATCAAGTAGTAGTAGCAACCGCAAATTGTTGTTGTTTAACCTTTTGTTTGTTGTTATACACTGTTACTAATATACTACTTCTTCGTTCATCAGGCATATGTATTTATTCCATAATTATATGAAACAAACCTGTAAGTCACCTTATTTTATTTTACTTTACATTTCATTATTGTACGTAGCTCGTAAGCAACTTCTTCGTTTGTTATGTTCCTGCTCTTTAGATATCAATTATTTTTTTCTAAAACATTTCTACATTACTCTTGTGTATATTTAAATGTAACATTTTACTAAGTAGGTATATTTTTTCAAAACGTTATTATAAATAAACAAAAATAATTGATAAATTGATGATAATTTAACGTTTTTAATTTTCAGAGCTGTTGTAAAGGAATTAATAGAAACCGAAATAGAATTCGTTAGAGATCTAGACTTGGTGGTCCAACGCTACCTTATTCCATCTGAGTCAGGCAAAGTTCCAAAGATCATTAAAGACAACTTTGATCTTGTATTTGGAAACTTCAAAGAGATCGCAGAGTTTCATAGAACGTAAGTATGTAGTGCCCCAGAATGTTTGATATTTATAGGAGAAATGTCAATTTATATAGTATTACAAGAACTAATGTTAGTGTACTTCTTTTGGAACATGACTGTCTTCTCGTCTGAGCACGATAGAAGAACGAGCGGCAAATTATGTGTAAAGAAGGTGTAACAGTTTATTTCTCGGACGTAAACTGATGCCAATATATCCGATTAACGAATTTTTGAAATAAATCCAAGCCTTTCGGCACTTTGTGGCAAAGGTGTGTTTTTTTCCTATTTCCTATCCACAGTTTGGTGGGAAAAAGAAAAATATGTCTATTTTTCAAATTAGCACGTTTCGATTCATCCGCCTTTAGCACAAGTTTCCCAACCCTTGGACAAAAGAATGTCCTTCCACTTATTAACTCATCCGCCCGCAGCCGTTGGTCATAAGTGGGGGAATTGCTTATACCGGCAATCATTCGGTGAGTAGAGATATTGTAAATATAGGTAACACTCATATGCTGCAGCTTTGTGTCTGCCTTATCGATCCTTATGTGTTCTTTTTATCTTTCCACATTTACACACACTTTACACATTAACTTTTATTTCCAATAAAACTTTTTATTGTATGATATGTGCCATGTTAGTAAAGAAAATAAAAAGTCATATTTTTGAAATTTAGTTTCCAACATAATTCTCCTAACACTACTGAATTATTACAAGTTTTTGACGTCAGTCAGCTTGTCACTTTTGTCAACATCTACATTTCGAATGCATATGATGAAATGTATAGTAGGTATTTTTTTGGCATTCAATTTGATTGTATTGTAGTCTTATATGGTTTTAGCCTGCTTTATATCTACGAAATCATATAAAAGCATATCTATATACGTAGAGGGATAGCGCAGTTAATTGTGTTATCCCCACTGTTACTAAATTTATATTAGAATATTATACAATGAAGTATTGAAGGCCACCTTCAAAAGGGACAAAAACAAGGTTAGAAAATTGCGGAGCATTATCCTCATAAACACAACAATGACGTTGTTATTTGCAATATTATTAGATACACTAGTAGAACTATGAAATAGAAAGCCATGGAAACAAGATTACAATAAATTCAGATCTGGAAGGGGTTGTACTGTTTTTAATAAACTAAGTCTAAGAAATATCAATAGAATTTCGACACATTTGTATATTAGAGCTTCGTAGATTTAACCGAAATATTATACACAGTGAAGAACTAAAATAAAAACAAACCCCCGCTAACAGACATTAGTTAACAGAAATTTAGCAAACAAATTAGATAGAAATAATTTAGAAAACAAAACATAAGTCTATTTTTCCTTAGTTTATTAATTAGCTTCTCTCAAAATTTAATTATAGTCTAAAGAACAAACCAATCGGTATAGTTACATAAGACACTGTAATTATAGCTGAAACCAAGAATGATCTACACAGACAATTACATAATCTCATCAGATAAATAGCGATCTCAATATGAACACATCAATTAACACACTGCTTGCCACGTCTCTCATATATGAGAGACACCAACATTTCTCAGAGGCCACGTCGCTCATTTTTTAGAGACACGCATCGATCAAATAGCTAGCCATGTATATCAAATATGAAACCCGTGTCTTTCTAATAAGGAATCGTGAGCGTGGCCTCTGGACAAAGTAGTATGTATCTTGGTTTAAGCAAAATTGAAAACATATATTTAAGACAACAAAAAGTTTAAAAAATATTTATTTTACGAAATATTAACACAAAGCTCATTCTGAACATACGTATTTATAGAACTTTACAAAACGAAGCAAAAATCAGCTAATATATTTACTTACTAGACCAATAACTTTAATACAAAGGAAAAAAATTAACAACTTAATGCACACATAATGCACATATTTACGACTATTCCGGGCACTTGTCGCAATAATTGTATGTTAATTTGGCTTTAGATTTTGCAACTATATGTCCTGATTCTTTCTGAATCTTTGCATAGCACAACGAACACCTGTGACGGATTTTCTTTTTATTTTCTCCGACTCTCACAAGTAAATGGTGATATCCCTGCGGCTTTTGTGGCAACTGCTCGTTTTTCAGATTTGCGATGTGAAGTAGCTTTGCTGCTATGATGTCACGAAAAGCACGGATTTGGATTTTTTTTTTTTTTTTGGTGACTCCTTTATTTACCCATGCAGAACCCATGCATTTACCATTGATATTTCCAGAAGCAAATCGATTCCAGCTTTGCCTTTATTGTACGCCAGAATCGCAACTGGTTTTCGGAACTTTTTATTTATTTTACTGGAACTGCCTCCTGTATGTCGTTGGAAGCGTCCGGGGATCGGAATTTTCAGATTCCATTTGGCAATAAGGCAAATCGCTACTACTTGTTGATGCATAAACATTAGTAGTACTGAAGGCATTAGTTATGGCATCTGATGGATTTTGAGAGTCGTTGGGTTTCTAGGTATCAATAGGGGGTTTATTCTTAGCAATCCTTGGGTGAACTGGTACCGTAAGTGGGACATGCTTTATTGAGAGCAGTCTAACCTCCCGCGTGTCTTTCCATTTTAAGATTACTATTTCGTTTTTGTCTTCGCGAGATACCATCTCTTCCCTTTTTATCTTGACTTGAAGGACATCTGTTGTAATATTTTTCTTATTGGCTCTCACGGTTCCAACAACATGTGTTAGTTTTTCAAGCATTGTATAGAGTGCGTCCTTTATAGAGAAGCTTCTCACACAATCTCAAACACACATTGGTTGCTAGTCCAACTTCGCGTTGCCCTGTCGCTGATTTTCCTGCATATACTTCAATTGCCCATGTATAAGCATCGACTGAACATAGTTCAAATAATTTGATACCATACTTGTTGGCCTTGTTTGGTATATATTGCCCAAAAATAAGACGCCTCCTCCATTGTACTAAAGTTTTATCTATTACGATGTCTTCATCAGGATAAAATAGAGATTGAAATTTATTTTGAAGGATATCAATAAGAGGTTTAATTTTTGCTAAGTGATATCCTCTTTGAATTGTCTCATTATTGGTGAAATGCAAAACACTTAGCAGCAGCTGATATCTGTTTAGCCACATAGTTGCTCTTGAAATATCTAGACAATACCCTTGGTCGCCCAATAATCGGGTCACTTAGTCGAACTAATCCCATCCACAGTGTCAAACACAAGAACTTTTTTATCTCTTCTGGATTGGTCGGTTTCCATTTATTTATGCGAGAATATCTTTTGGCTTCCTTGGTTGCCATGGTTGGTTGCGCTAATCTGTTCATTTCAATGACAATAAAGTCTATGACTTCATTATCGACGATATGGAAAAATGCCTAAAGCAGAGACATTTCAGGGAAAAAATCTTATTGCAGACCACTAGGACCCGTAAAATGGAAGTTCTTGTGTTGTCCCACATACTAGAGCCAATCAGTGGAAGCTGGCATATCTTCATCTTCATTTTGGTCATTATTTCCAATCCAATTTAAATCCTAAAGAACATCTTTTATATATGGTTCTTCTTCGTTATCATCTTCATCAGTTGACTCAAATCGATCCATTGACACATCGGGGTCATGGCTAAAATCCTGATCTTTGATGAAATCGTCGGAGTCAAAGGCAGACTGTTCATCACTCTCGTTATCACTATCGATGTGATTCAATGCTTCCTCTAATTCGGCCTCGACTGTCAAGCCTCGACGACGTTTAGTCATTTTTTATTATTCGGTTCATTCAATTTTCAATCCCAAAATCTGCAGCAAAAAAGAAAACCTTAAAAAACATGCGTCGATCATATTTGTGAGATGTGGCCAGCAACTTACATATCATGAATTTTGTTCTACAGGGCCATGTCGCTGATATATGCGAGACACAAAAATACTACAAAACATGTTCATGTACATGTACGTATCACAATGATTGAATTCTTTTTTGGACCAGAAGAACCCAAACACCAAATTTTGGTTCAAGGGCTATCGTACAAATATATACACATACTGGCAAAAAACAATGGCACGATGCGATATTACGAAGCACTGGTGGTGTCCTTATTAATTGGGGTACCATTATCGAATGTCAGATAGGCTGATTGCACTTTCTTTATTGCAATGACCATTAAAGAGGTATATAGCATTCATTACAAAATAAATAAATGCAGCTAATTTAATGTTATAAACATCAGCGACAAAATAAAAAGCGAAATAAATCATCAACTCAGGTTTTTGGTTTAACGCAGACTAAGAGTTGAACGAATAAATTTAGTGTAATTGGCAAGAAAAATATTTATAATGTGTAATAATGTTTTACTCCATGCTCTACGCAAATATTGCAGAATTGTTACAACTATTTCTTAGATTATCAGAGCACTGCGATTTTTACCTCCTTTAACAATATATATAGCAGCAGTAAATTTCCAGATAACTGGTTAGAATAAATATTTATAACTATTCCCAAGAAAAGAGCATTTAATTGAATACCACGTACACTAATATTTCAATGCTTGGACTGGTTGATGAAGAGGTTTCAGCTAAAGTTCCTATTAAGCGGAGTCAGACAAGAATGTGTTATGTTACCGATGTTTTTTAATGCCTACACTGAACCTGTTTTTGAGATAGCGTCAAATAATCGTACCGAATGTATTAAAATTGGTGGTGAATTATAAATAACATCAAAAACGCAGATGACACTACCATAATGGCAGAGAGTCTAAAAGACATTCAAATCCTGTGAACGCTGTAAATAAGGAAGGCACCAAAAAGAGATAAATATCGAAGACTGAATACTAAAATTTCTGGAAAAGGTACAAAATCCTAGAAAGGGTGAAACACGTATATCTTGGTAGTTAAATTGACGGCAAGGTTGAAAGTGACGAGGAAGTGACGGTCTTTATTAACTGGCGTTCTGTATTGTGCAGTAGAAGTCTGTCATTGACCACGCGTCTAAAAGTATTGAAGTGCGACTTCTGGTCCGCTTTGATCTATGAATGTGAAAACTGGACCAAAAAAAATAAAA